TATCAGCCCTCAATCCGGGTCTTGTGTATGATCTGACGGTAGACGATTACCTGAACTTCCTCTGCGCACTGAACTACACATCGTCGCAGATCAACTCACTGGCGAGGAGAGATTTCACTTGCGACGCCGGGAAGAAGTACAGCGTGAACGATCTCAACTACCCTTCCTTCGCCGTCGTTTTCGAAGGCGCATTGAGCGGCCAAGGCGGTGGATCCACTGTGGTCAAGCACACAAGAACTCTTACAAATGTCGGCTCCCCAGGAACTTACAAAGTCTCAATCTCGTCGGAGACCAAGCTGGTTAAAATCTCGGTGGAGCCAGAATCTTTAAGCTTCACCAAAGCCAACGAGAAGAAATCGTACACAGTCACATTCACCACCGCGTCTGGTTCGGTGGCTCCGCCGAGTACGGAGGGGTTCGGTCGAATTGAGTGGTCGGACGGGAAGCACGTGGTGGGAAGTCCAATCGCGTTTAGTTGGTCGTAGAAAGAGGGAAATGAAGAAGATGGTTCTTTGAATTTCCATGGCTAACGGCCCAGAAGATGGGGTGGTATCGATTGGGCATGAAACTCGATAGCTAATGTAATATTTGTCGATTTCACAGCAAAGAAATGAAGCTGGATTTAGTGTTTTAACGTTTTGTTCTAAAAAAAAAAAGGAAAGGAAAAAAGAAAAAAAATTTGATAATAACAGAAAATTGCGTTTGATGCTTTTTTCCCCCCTCTATGTACAGTATTTGTAATTGCTTGTGTCTGATGCACTCACTTCAATTGCTGGGAAGAAAAAATAATGTTCAAGTTGTGTTACATTTCGCTCATCTTGTTCCATTTCTTCGTATTTTGTTTTACTTCTATTCTTTTCCAAATATATATTTGTCATAAAAGTTTTCATTTTAATGATTTAACATATTTCCGATGTCGATTTTAGGTTGAATTTGAGTATTTTTCTAAATAGGTCTGAGCATTATATGGCTGTGAAGCTCACTTCAAAATATCTCGGTCATCTCTCTCCACAATTACTTTCTAAAACTTGTAAAATTTATTTGATGTGAGATATTCAATTTTGTGGACTCGTTGCCCAGATTTGGGTTAAAGAAATATTAAATAACTATTTTAATGAATAGTATCATGTATCACATGGGCACCCGTGACTCGTGAGTCATGCCAGATTTAAAGGCTTCTATAATATATTAAAGAAGGCTACTATACCCTAAAACTAAAATCTCGACATCAACCATATTAAGTAAAAACCAGAACAGAAAAGAAAATTGGAGAACATAAAAACATAAATAAATAAAAAAAAACGAAAACATAACACAAAAAACAATAATGATAAGATTTTCAATAGTACAATTTAAATTGAAATTTATATCAACAATATATTTCCAATTATGAAAGGAACGAGGCAACAGAATACTTCGAAGGGCCCATACTTAGCCAGCCCACGGCATGTAAGCCCATGGGCTGCCAGATAAATTTAAAATCACACCGTCCACATCTAATTTGGAAGAAGTCTACGTGTGGCTGTGTAGACACGTGTAAGCAAGAAGCGCCACGAAATTACAGGTAAGTGACAGGTGTCAATACAGTAAGAGCTTCCAAATCGTATATAAAATGGAAAGCGTAAGCGAGAAAATAAAACAAAAAGCAAAAGCATACCGTGGTTGGGGAAAATGGATAAGCAGGGGGCGGGTCAGGCGCAGCAACAAGCGGAGAGG